ATTTCTCTTAAAGGAATAAGAGAATATTCTTAAAGCAATAGCTTTGAATGCATTTCTTAAAGGAAAATTTAGAAATTCTGACACTTAAAGATACCTTATTACTAGCACACTTAATTGTACTGAGAATTTTTTTTCTTCTCAGTTTTTTTGGTGGTATTGGGCACTGAGCCCAAGGTGTTACAAGAAAGCTCTCCGCCACTCAGCTTTATTGTTACCTCTTGACTTACATAGGTAGTCTGGTTTAGGATATTACATTTCATGGGTTAGGCATCTGCATCAGGCATTTAAAGGTTTCCAGATTTGGGGTGTGGCTCAGTCACAGACTGCTTGGCTGGTCTATGAAGCTCCTGGGTTTAATCCCAGGCACCACAACAAAGCAGAAACATGAACAAGCAAAAGAAAGTAATTTTTAATATTTCATATGTGTGTACGTGTGAAGTGTGTGTCTGTGCATGAGTGTGTGTGCACATGTGCACACAAGAGCATGCCATGGGTATGTAGAGAGGTCAGAAGACAACTTGTGGGAGTCAGTTCTCTCCTTTTACCTGTGGGTCCTGGGAATTGAACTCAAATCATCAGGCAGCTTGATGCTACATATCTAGCCACTGAGGCAGCATACCAGTCCAAACCAAAAAGTTGGAGAGTGTTTTCTTAGCCAAGAGAAGTTGCCAAGTACAGCCAGGCTTCCTGTCTGAGAGCCTGATTTGCCTTCTTGGATAGTCTACACAACAAGAGAATAAGGCAATCTCTATGAGGCTCACACAATTCCTCCCTTCCAGGGACAAGAAACATGCTTGTTGATTCCCAAGACTGTGCTTCCGGCAGAAGGAGCTTCATGAAGTGACTGGATATCCAGTTTTAGTGCAGAAGCTACCACTATGGCAAGAATTGACCTTTCAGGTTCTTAGCAAGTTTAGACACAAAATGGAGTCACAGGCTTCCACTTTCACCTGTCTCACAGAGAAAGCTGGAAAGAAAATGCCATCTTAGGGGATCCCCTCTCTTTTCCTGCCAGCATGAGTTTCAGAAGGTTTCTGAACGGGATGGAAGTCTATAAGCCTAACAACATGGGTAGAGACAATCTCTCCTCGGAGACAGCACATACTGCTAAAGCATGATTTTCATGGCCAAATTATCACGGTTGCCTGAAGGATCCAGGTCCCAAACTGTATTTAAATGATCCTTGGAGTATGGCACAAAGGACACCTAGTAGGTACACAACTTCAACAAGGACAAGTTTTGGAGATTCCCCTGAAGGCATGTGGTCAGAACTGGGAGAAAAGGACAGATCTGAGATGTCCTGTCACAAAGATGGTGGCAGCAGTGTACAACAAATCACACTGTACACGATTAATAATAAAACCTGCCACTTAAAATACAGAATTGACAGAAAGCAAATGCCAGTAACTCCTGGAAGAGAAACTGATCTCCTGTTCCTTTCTGTCCAGAACTCGATGGGATGACAGAATCCAGCTTACTTCTTTATTCAAGCATTTTTGGTTTTACTCTGTATAGCAATTCATCTCTTAGACTCTGATTTCCTGAAAATCACTCTCTCTTCCCCCTGCCCCCATGTGTGTTATGTGTGTTTGAGACAGGTCTTACTACATAGATCTGATTGGCCTGGAACTTGCAATGATCCTCCCGCCTCTGCCTCCTGAGTGCTGGGATCACATGCAAGCTCACCAGGCTATCTTGTTGTTCCTCAGGAGTCATTCCATATGAACAATGAAATGGCGGCAGTGCACTAGACATGGACCAGAGCATCGCCAGGATAGCCTGGCCACCCAGCTGGTCCTCCAGATGTGCAGGTTGGCAATAAAGGACTAAAAAAGATGTGTGTGTGTGTGTTTGTCTCTGTGTGTATGTGTTTGTATGTATGTCTGTGTGTTTGTCTGTGTGTCTGTGTGTGTCTGTATGTCTTTGTGTGTGTGTTTGTGTGTGTGTCTGTCTGTGTGTCTGTATGTGTCTGTGTATATGTGTTTGTATGTATGTCTGTGTGTTTGTCTGTGTGTCTCTGTGTGTGTCTGTATGTATGTGTTTATATATGTGTGTGTCTGT